CTGAAAGAAACTTTGAATTACACAAAAGGCAAAGAAAGTCACATCAGCTCTCTTAACTTGACTCAAACTCCTCTAATAACAACAGCGAAATTCCAAGATATACTCGCGGAATTTCCAAACATAACTAAACCATACCCACAGCCTTCCGAAGACAAACTGAAAGTAAGTCATAATATCAAAACCAAAGGTGCACCGGTGTTTGCAAAACCCAGGAGACTAGCACCGGATAAGCTCAAAATCGCCAGAGCCGAGTTTGATTATATGCTATAACTCGGTATTATCCGTCCCTCTGATAGCCGATGGGCATCCCCTTTGCATATGGTCTCAAAGAAAAATGAAGGCGACTGGCGACCGTGCGGGGATTACAGAGCCCTCAATTGTCAAAGTGAACCAGATAGGTACCCAATACCGCATATCCAAGATTTTACAGACGGTTTACAAGATATGAACATATTCACTAAAATTGACTTAGTCAGGGCATATCACAATATCCCGGTGGCCGATGAAGATATCCCCAAGACAGCTATTACTACACCTTTTGGCTTATTCGAGTTTGTACGCATGCCATTATGCCTGAGAAATGCGGCACAGACATTTCAAAGATTCATAGATAACCTACTTCGAGATATGCCATTTGCGCAGGGGTAGATAGACGATTTGTTAATTGCCAGCCTCGATTTGCAATCACACGAGCAGCATGTACGAGCAGTGTTGAAAAGACTGGATGAACATGGAATGAACATACATCAAAGTAAGTGTGTTTTCGGTGTTCAAACTTTATAATTTCTCGGTCACACAAACATCGTATTGAAGGTGGGTAGCCATTAAACCACATCAGGTCACGAGGAAATGACTTCAATATTTCCTTACACCGATTAATCATTCATAATACTAATGAATAATAGGACTTACACACTTCTAAGGTGCAGACCAATTCGTTGCTTGGATGAATTGATGAAATATTGCTTCAATATATCATGAATACCTAAATCAAACCACAAAAGAGTATTTGACACAACTGTACTTGATCTTCACACTCTACGCAATTTTTTTCCTCCTTAACCATATATTCTTTCCGATTTTGTGGAGTACTCTTATGTACCCTTGGTTACGTACCTGGTTATGAAAGGCGGTTTTCATAGACCCAAAGTCATACATTTGATAGGGTTTGACAATGGGTCCAACTTCTAGCAAACTTACACTTTTACATATATGCATTATAAAAGAGTTTTTTGTACACAAGATGTATACACTATGTTTATTTCCTTCCAGAATACCAATCCGTTCTGGAGGCCAAGCACTTACGTGGAACCGAACAATTATCAATTATATTTATGTATTTCCACTTTGTATCTTATTATTTTAATCAGGCAGTGGAGCAGTTCTTCAGGTTGATTGACTTTCACCATTACTTTTGAAGGAGATTCTTCTTTACATGTTACTTGAGGGCGACTCAAGAGGCAGGCGAGTAAACACCTGATAGCCGGTCTGAGCATGAAAAAATTGTACCTCACCAACATGGTGTTGGGTAGCCCGCTCGCGGTTTTTCCTCAGATATTCTTGTCCCACATTCTCACACTTTTTTGAGGGGACGTAGTAAACTGCTAGCAATAGTTGTACAAGAAATCACATGCTATAAATAAGAAGACAGGATATCAAATGAAGAGACATCGACGGACTATCGTTGATTGCTGACGGAATTAGTCGTCATTGATGAAGTCAAACAGTGAGCGAGTTGATAATTTTCGCTTGGGCTGGAAAAACAGAACTAAGGTGTTTTTGATAGATACGTTAATCGAACCGACGTTCCTACGGAAGTCGATTCTAGGGGGAAGCTAATGTAACAGCCTAGGTTGGTTGGTTAGGAGTTGACCTCAAACAACCAAGAATATGCCTGGACAATATAGTTCAAGTATTTATTCACTTCCTTATTTTGTATAGGTGTTATATTCCCTATTATCTTATATTGAATGTTGAGAGGCTTTGTTTGTCTGAATACATAACTCCACGCTCTACTGTGACTGCGCGAAGATCGAAATAAAGACCTATTCACTATTTGTCTGGTTTCTTCTATCGATAGCACGAGGGTTACCTTAAGGCACGAAACGGTCACAGCAGTACGTTGATATGTCGAGGATGTAATTCACGTTAGGTGCTGACTGTGAGGAGTGACTTCGATGCAAGTTGCTCCGTCGCACCATTCCCGTTGAACTCGAGTGAGCCCTCAATCATTCGATATAGATCATATACGTTAGTGATCTACATGTCTCAAAAACGACGAAGAATTCAGTTTTCAAAAGGTTATGAATTTTATTTGATTATTCTGTCACTGTAATACACTTGTGATGAAAGTGAAAAGTAATGTTCTAATTGATTTACTTCATCCATTGTCTTATCCATCATCACCTGGTAGCTGCAGTGCAGTAAAGCAAAATTCAGCATATATATGTTTTTTGAAAAAAATATAAATTAGTGTCTGTTAAGTTCATTGAAATTTGATGTAAATTACTCACATTCAAGCGACTAACGTGCCATCTTCATTCGTAATTTTACTTGATTCGAACAGGATGAAAAGAGTTATCATCACTGTTTCGACAATACCTTCGTAATGTGTTCTCGTCATGTCGATCTTAAAACATTCATTACTCGTTTCGTCAAATTTGTTAATGATTGAACGCAAGGTAAGCGACATGAACCTGCTGTACTTTCCGATCTTTATTAGACAACAGTAATCGCTGTGCAATTAATGTATCGGTAAATAAATCTCCAAACACAATAGCTCTGTAGGTATTCGGCACTGTGTGCTGAATACATTAGATTTATTGAGCTCAATTAGCTGAAGGCACTCGGTCATGCATCTGCACCAGATCACGAGTAGGAACTTTTGCAATCGCTAGTCAGTTTAGATCAGTCGTTTCTCGATATATTGATAGCCTATCAAATATATTTTCGAATCTCCTTGCTTCTGACTTTTGGTATCACTGGGTGAGCACGATTCATTTATGGAAGGTGTTACTGGTCGAAGTGTCATCAAACTAGAAATGGCTGCGGCGTCTTCAAGAGGACAGTTCGAAGCATAAATATTCATAAACTTTTGGAGAGACGGATTACCCAAAAGTCATTCCTGTACTCGGATTCATTGATCGTAACAGTCAACCCTTTTGTAATCAAGCAGAGCGTATTTGGGAATGCACACGTTCTGCATTCACTGATCACCATTTGTTCAGGTCGACCACTGGGATGTAGCAGTTGAGTAAGTACATGATGACTTCAACCAAACAATGCATACAAAAACACAGTTCAAGTTTGCGAACTTCGGTATACTCGAGTTGAAACTAAAATGCAACCTTGAATGTGTACAAAGACACTCTCTTTTAAGAGTCACTTAATGTCATCTATATACAAATAATAAATAAAATGTTCTCATCTCTATCTGTTAATCGTTACAAAGAAGATGTCTTCTTGTTATTTTTTGTGTAATTTTGTAAGATGTATAAGCTCATAATCTGTTGTACAACCTCAGTTTGAGTGTAGCTCTTTTATGGTGTTTATATGCTGTAAAAACATCTTGAAAGTAGCCTAGCAGCCAAGGTCATGGAAGGTAGCCAAGCTCATTTAACACGTCACCCTGGCAGAAGTAAGATGTCGGAACTAAGTAGAGCAGAGAAAATAGCGGCTGCTAAGAACAAGGTGTGTTTACTGACATATGACCATACTATTGCAGAATACCTTTATTTTGTTAGTTGGTTTTGACATTTCGAAATCTCTACGCAAATATTTAATTGGAGTACGTGTTCGGTCTGAGAAAAATTCGTGAGATCATCTGTTCAAACTTAAGGAGCAGTTTTCCTGTGGTATGTGGGGGTCCAGGCACTTTCGATACTGGGTATTTGTGTTTATTGTTCGGGTATAGATCGCTAATGTGTTTGTAACCAAGTCGTCGAAGGAATATCAAAAAGTGTATAGTGTCATCATAAATCCGCTAAAATACTTATCCTGTGGTTTTTTCGTGATCATCTGTGTCAGTCGACATTACATTGTAATAAGGTGGTGGCTGAAATCAGGTAATGCATAAAGTTACGGATTTTGGAAAGGACGGTTTTTTCTATCTGTCATTTTCCAATTGTTAGGTATTTGCGACCCTGTTTATCGGTTTTTCAGCTCAATATAATAATTTGCCTTTAAGATCGTTATATACTCAGTCATTTTTCTTTACGTGAGATACGTCGGTCTATGGTCAAACACTAACAACTTTACACATTTCCCAATTACGAAGGACGTTCTACAATATGATCCACTGTTATACAGTGCACTTCACGTTCTATGTGGTAGTTTCAAAAACCTGCTGCCAGAAGTTAGGTCTATAACTCTCATCTTTCGACACGCCTGTTCAAAACGTCGAAATAAATTGCAGTTGTGTCACTAAGCCTTACTATCATTTAAATGGAATTAAACTAGCTTTGTAATTCGTTGTTTCTGGTGGTCTCATGTCGTGCATAGCGGAAACTCACGTTTCTCTGAACAGTGCTTTCTATTTATAGTACTAACAAAGCCATACTGTGTTTTGTTTTCTTGCTTAAAATAAAAGTGGTTTAGACACAGACTTTTCTCACTCTAATATATGACATTGTATTAAATTTCAAAGTTAACGTGGGCGGAAAGCATAAATTCTGCTAATTGAACGTGACGGGTATTTTCGGTTTATTTCATATCAGATATAAGATTTGTATAACGTAAATATGCCAATGAGGGTTTCGTGGAATTGATACATCATCGTGTTTAGATTTCTTGAGAACTATTATCAAGCTTCCACTGCTCACACATGCATGATACATCTGCTTTCCGAGACATAGTTTTTAATTGTGAACCTCGAACAATTACAATTTCAACTTGACATCATCTTCTCAGTTTTACGTGGTAGATGAACTACACATATACTAATATTATGAAGTGATTTTTCGCCATACATCACATTCTTTCCTATACATCTTTTTTAATAGCTAAGAGAATTCCAAGCTGCCAAAACTAACAAACAGTCAAATGAATCATATGTCAACGAAGCTCATGGTTTCAACGTTTCGGGGACTGGTGGCTATCGAGTAAGTAATGGGAAAGGTTTTAATTCAGACCGTGATTTGTTTCTAAAGATCAGTTACTGAAAAGCTTTAGAGTTGAGATGCATATCTTCTAAGGCTCACTGAGAAATAGTTATCTTCGGCTTCAATGTATTTCATCATCCTGTGTAAATGTAAACGCATCAATTTACTTGTATAGTTGACCTTTTCAAGTATAATCTCCATCTACAAATGTGTAGCTACACTTGTTATCATCCGTAGACGAATGTATAAATTTGTTTCACGGTAAGTATATTTTTCCATGATCAGCTGTATGTCTTAGTTGATATTATTTCCATTTCATTCTCTCTCTCATCTTATAAATGAATTTCCTTACTTAAGTGTGGTAGCATGGATCATCATCATCATCTCAAACATCTAAATCATCATCATCATCATCATCACCATCTAAATCATCATCACCATCTAAATCATCATAATCATCATCATCACCATCTAAATCATCATCATGATCATCATCATCGTCATCATCATCATCACCATCATCATCACCATCATCATCATCATCATCATCATCATAATCATCATTATGATCATCATCATTATCATCACCATCATCTAAGTCATCATCACCATCATCATCTTCGTCATCATCATAATCATCATCATCACCATCTAAATCATCATCATCATCATCATCATCATCATCATCATCATCATCATCATCATCATCATCATCATCATCATCATCATCATCATCATCATCATCATCATCATCATCATCATCATCATCATCATCATCATCATCATCATCATCATCATCATCATCATCATCATCATCATCATCATCATCATCATCATCATCATCATCATCATCATCATCATCATCATCTCATCATCATCATCATCATCATCATCATCATCATCATCATCATCATCACATCATCATCATCATCATCATCATCATCTCATCATCACATCATCATCATCATCATCATCATCATCATCATCATCATCATCATCATCATCATCATCATCATCATCATCATCATCATCATCATCATCATCATCATCATCATCATCATCTAAATCATCATCATCATCATCATCATCATCATCATCATCATCATCATCATCATCATCATCATCATCATCATCATCATCATCATCATCATCATCATCATCACATCATCATCATCATCATCATCATCATCATCATCATCATCATCATCATCATCATCATCATCATCATCATCATTCATCATCATCATCATCATCATCATCATCATCATCATCATCATCATCATCATCATCATCATCATCATCATCATCATCATCATCATCATCATCATCATCATCATCATCATCATCATCATCATCATCATCATCATCATCATCATCATCATCATCATCATCATCATCATCATCATCATCATCATCATCATCATCATCATCATCATCATCATCATCATCATCATCACCATCATCTAAATCATCATCGTCATCATCATCATCACCATCTAAATCATCATCACCATCTAAATCATCATCATCATCATCATGATCATCATCACCATCATCATCTTCGTCATCAACATCATCATCATCATCGTCATCATCATATTCATCAGCATCATCATCGTCACCATCTAAATCATCATCACCATCATCTATATCATCATAATCATCTAAAACATCATCATCATCACCATTTAAATCATCATCACCATGATCTAAAACATCATCATCATCTAAATCATCATCTTCTTAATCAACATCACCATCTAAATCCTCTTCATAATCATCCTCATATCTTTCTTCAGAAATACACAATGATTTGATTTCGTTTGTACAGATCTTATCTCTTTACTATAATAATAATAAATTATAATTATCAGTTTTTACTTGTTCTCACGTTTCTTGTGGCTCCGTTTAAGAACGGGTCTCTACTTGTAAAACTTGAACATTTTGTAATTATTATTTACGGGTTGCGAATTATAAATAAATCATAGAACAGAAATTATTCGTTTTGTTGATTTAAATATGTCAGATAAAAAGAAATAGGAAGATCAATTGGCTATTGAATGGAGATAGACGTATCCAGTTGTATTAAGGATCTAGACAATTTATGCAAATATCCGTTGATATTTGAACGAATGGTTTGCCAGAAATTAGGCTGCGATTATAGAGAAAACAATTTTCTGTGATAATTTTTGATTGTATTACACTGAAGAAGTTCAGATACGTTTTCTGGATGAAACATTGAAATTATTTTGATTTCATTCGCTGAGAATAATTTTGCTTATAACCTAGAAACGATAGTTTTCAAAATATATTAGGGGTTTAGTCAGTCAGTGAGCTACAACGTAGGACCATACACATATATGCATCGTTCCAGGTTGCCATATCACATTAGCACAGCAAGATGAACACTGGATTCATAGTAGTGGTTATGTTAATAGTGGTAATATATAAGAGGAAGAGTGCGTATAATGACATAGTACGGGAAGAAAGAATTTGTTCGTAGAAAGAAAGATACTTACCCGGTGATCCCAGCAGATGTGAGCAATATGTCTAAGGCATCTGTGGTCAAATACTAGTAGCTTAGCGGTTACTTGTATATAGTTTATATCAGAGAACATGAAGTAGTTTATATGGTTGAGTATTGACAGATTAGTTATATGAATTTTAAAGAAAAAAACAGAATGTCATGGGAACAGGTTTATATTGAGGAATATGAACTACAATGAAAATAGACTGTTTGGATAAATGGAGGTCAGATAATAATGAAACACGGGGAAAGAGGTTAATATAACTGAAAGCATGCGTATTAAAAACTGAGGTAACCGGACCAAAGTAATATCGACAACTGTACAGTATCTTATCGAATGAATAAATTTAGTTTCAGCAACGTATAACAACATTTGAAGTCATTTTCTCACAGTTTCTCTTGAAATGATACCATTACATCCAAAATGATCAGCGACTGGACAGCTTAGAAAACCCGTTTGTTTAGCCTATTCGTATCATATATCTTTTTAAGCAGTTAGTGCATGTTGTGAAGCCTACTGTCACACCGTTTGATGCTGACACACTTTTGTATATGATCTCGACTACTTAGGAGGAAGGACGGAAGGTAGGAAACTAAGTTTATTTGAGTAAATATGTATGTGGCGAGACTCTAATTCACAGACGAGCCAATCAGATGCCTGTTAGAGATTTCAAGGTGACGGCGCAAACTTTAGTGCTTTGTGCTAACGTACGGTCGGTTCACAGGGAATTTTGTACAAAACATGATAATTGAGCGGCTATAACAAATAAAACGACGGGACTATAATTTGTGGACGAATCAATCAGGTATAAGATAATAGATCTAGGATGTTAACGCGAAAGCCTGTCTTCCATTTGGCTAAATGAATTTCTGGCATTATAGCTGATGTCAGTTAGTGATGAAAACCCCATATATAATTCCTCACTACGGCGAATTACGACAAATATTGCGAACTGGATAATAAAAGCACCAGTAACACTGTCTGCAGCCAGGTACTACAATATATCCGGATGTTTGGAGAGTGGTTCAAATGGTTCAAATGGTTGTGGACGGAATAGAAGAAGCTTTCGGTTAACAGGCTTCCGTGTCTAGTAGCAGGGGATCACCAAATCCTCCAGGCAGGAACCTAGGTATGTTAACAATAAAAGAGGAAAAGAAATTGGTAAATCATAGTGTGATGCTGTCCTTGGTCCTTAAGAATAGGTCAAGTTGCCTCTTGAAGGACTCCTGAGAAGTCGCTTGGACTAGCTCGGCCGGCAGCGAGTTCCAGCTTTTGACAACTCTTAAGGAGTAGAAGTTGTGTCTACATTCCGTCTTGCTATGTTGTGTTTCCAGTTTCTGGGTGTTACCCCTTAGGTTATTATTCGAACTAAGCTTAAGTAGGTGTTTAAGAGGATGTCCAGAAGTGTTAAGAATACTATAAGCCATTAATAAATCACCTCTAAGACGCCTGTATTCTAGTGGGTAAAGGTCTAGTGAACGGAGGCGTTCTTCGTAAGGCTTAGATTTGAGTCCTCGAACTGATTTCGTGGCTCGCCGTTGGATACGCTCCAAAGTGACCTTGTCCTTTTGGAGTGAGGGGGGGGGTAGTACTATGTTTCCGTACTCTAAATGGGGACGGATGAAACTATTGAAGATTGTGTGGAAAGTTCTTCCGTCAAACTGGCCAAAAGTGCGCCTCAACGTTACCAGTGCAAGGTTTGCTCGGAAGGCATTTTTGTCACAGTTAGCGTAAGACTTTAAGTCATGGGGCACCAGGACTCCTAAATCTTTTTCGACTTGGGATACTACTAGAGAGGAGTTTCCTAAGTTGTAACTGTAGTTTGCGACATGTCGCAGATGGACTACTTTACACTTTGAAGTGTTAAAGGTAAGTCCGTTATCGTCTGCCCAACTTTGAAGTCGCGTCAGATCCTCCTGAAGTGCCTGTGTATCGTCTTGGTTGCGTATCTCTCTCCAAAGTTTCACGTCGTCGGCAAAAGTAATAAGTCTGACGTTACCTGTTGAGGAAGATCATTTATGTAGATCAAGAAGAGAAGAGGCCTTAGTACTGAGCCCTGGGGGACCCCACTAGGACATTCCATAGCTTGAGATAAAGTGAAATTAACCCTAACCTTAAAGTGTCGATTTTTTAGGTATGAAGTAAGCCAGTCGATTAGAGGTGGTTTGATACCTAGTCGTTTGAGCTTGTTGATAAGACACAAGTGGTTAACCTTATCAAAAGCTTTTGAGAAATCAAGGTAAATGACATCAACCTTTCCCTTGCGATCGAGGATGCTTGTCCATCTGTCCACCGCAGTCAGCAGGTTGGTTATACAAGAGTAACCCTTCCTGAAACCATGCTGTTGGGGTGAGAAGAAATTTAAGGACAGTAGATAGTCATTTAAACCGTCGCATATCAGGGACTCCATGAATTTTGAAGGTAACGACAGAAGAGCTACCGGCCGATAACTTGAAGGTTCATTGCGTCGAC